TGCACAGGCCCACGATCACTATAAAACTAATTCACGCGCAAGTGAGCGTCCCTGCTGTCGCCCTGTTTTGGCGATGGACATCGTCGTGGTCGACGGTGTAACGTCCCTTGACCTGAACAGGGTTGTTTGAGTGCTGTGACACTTTTGGCGCGGACCTGGGATAGAGATGGTGTAATTGCGTGCTGGTGAAGACGGCTGGTGTCCCTTCCTCTCGCTACCGCCGACACCCGCCTCCTGCATAGCATCGCCGCTCTCGCCTCTCTCACACTCAACGTCGGCTTGCCCCTTCCCTGCAGTTGCCACAGCGCTGCATCCCCACCGACTGTTTAACTAATATGTCAGGGTCACCTGTCCATCCAGACAGGTCATCTATTCGCAGTTTCCCAGTCCATGTGTACACTAACGTTTATTATACACATTCTCCATATCCATGTCGTTCTATTATACTATATCCCATACTTGATGTGCTTTCTTCTCCTGCGTGTGAATGAGTTTCAAGAGATGCTAACAATTCTGTTCAGGTCTACCTCTGTCAGGATCTCTTCTCAGCGTTTCCTTACTTTGGTGTGTGCTACCCTTGACGTCCTCAGTCGCTACAACGGTCGGACTATCGCACATGGTTCAAACCAAGGCTTTTGCCGTGCAGACCGCAAACTGCTTGCATTCTAGTCACTCGGGATGCCCCTTGCTAACGCCCGGAGTATTTGTACATTGGAAGCCACAGCCATCGGACCACTTTCTGAATAGTCGGATGATGCAAGAGAGAGAGAGAGAGAGAGAGAGAGAGAGAGAGAGAGAGAGAGAGAGAGAGAGAGAGCAAAATAGATCTTCCATTGCGTGCAGAACCCAGTGTTTCTCTCTGTCTGGGGCAGCAATAGTCTCTGACGAGGCCAAGTCATTGTTACGTCAGGTCCACGGCCGTAGGACTGCTTCTGTCTAGGGGTGAGTGAGTGGGTTGCACTACCCGGTGGGTGGTTTATGTTGCACTGGCGGAGGAATGGCGTTTTCAAGTGGGGGCATGGACTGCTGTAACAAGCTGGATACGAATGTTGCAATCAGTCTGACAGGAAGGCCAACGCGTGTAGAGCCGCTCGCTGAGGGGAGGGGGGGGGGGTGAATGACCTTGACGCAGCTGGGGGCTGCGCAACAAGGCCACGCATTGTGCTGATGGCTACGCACCCCCTCCCCCGCTCCCAGAACAGTAAAGCCTGCTGATGTTCCCCTGCATGCTACAGTGGCTTGCATTATTAACAAGAGGTATGCTGTTGTTTTTGATCTTGCTAATTCGGTCATGTCCAGTGCAATACTGATATCCGTTTGCACCATTCAGAACATTCCACTAGCATGACAGCTGTGTGTAGCAACTGCTGAGTTTTGCAAAGGCCTCCATTACACAGCACTAAATATTGGCGAATTAATTTCAATTCGATCCCACTCGAATGGTCCAGGATTAGGAAAAAGCGCACATCGGAGTCTCAAATACAGTATGCTTGCTACATGAGAATGTTCGACACTATTCACAACTGGATTACATCAACGCTGTGAAATCACTGATGAAATTGGATGAACACTTGTAGCCTACAACACTTGCTCTTGGGTGTAAAACGGAGCCAGACTACGACATTAATAGGAATAATAATATTTGAAAGACCTTACGGGCGAGGTCAGCGCACGTTAGGATGATCATTATAAGTTTACTTGCAGTCGCCGGTCAGCTACACACCAACCCCATGGCGGGACGATCTGGAACAGGATCCAGATTTTAATCGAGAATTCGACCCCGCCAGTTTTTACGTGGTCTAGCAAAGTGTCTGCAGTGATTGCGTCCCACAAACAAGCCGGATCTGTGGGCAGCATTCCCACTCAAAAGCAAGCAGTCGCACGGGGGTCGGTCGCCAGAACATTACGCGTCGTCGACACCAAGATCGGACCTTAACCCTTTCCGACCTGTCGATCCAGTATGACCTGCAACAACATATTCCAAACTAATGCACTGAAAGGCCTTTTGTGCAAGACTTGTTGTGGAACCAGATCGAGGGAAGTCAGGGGCGGCTCAAGGCATCTGTCGCCGCACTGAATCACCCAATCTTCTCCTTTGCCATGACTATTACGTAACATGCCCCGAGAAGCCATAAAAAATACCTCTCCTCCAGCCTGCACAGAGGTGAAACAGTAGTCAAAGAACAGACATGGTGTCCCGCCACGTCCTCGTACGTCCTCTAGTGGTACTGCTTGCATGTTGGTCTGCTCAGCCGACTCCTGTACCGTTTGAGTGCACCTACGCAAGTCTGCAGCTCAAGGAAATGCGTATCTCTCAGCAGTTTTAAGGTAGTCAAACTACCTCATTCTAGGCCTAGAAAATTACTTGCAGAGTTAAACGGTCTGAGTCCATACCCAACAGAAGGATGGCTACTGACACTGTACTGATGTCCCTGAATTTGAAACTGCCCCTGGGTCGGACACCTGAGAAGTCAACGATTAGTTGTTGATTCCGAATGTGGCAGAACAGTGTTAAGGCGACTAAAGTATGAGCCTGAATTCTCATAGGGGTTAAGGCACTAAATAATGACTCGAAAAGAAAATGTACTAGGCGTTACTTTCACGCTGTTATAGCAAAATACGCCATAAAGTTGCGACAGCTTCAGTCTGCATGTCCAGGGCAATTTTCCTGATAAACAGCCTACGTACAACTGGAGTTAAGCGTGACAGGACTAACGGCACGTAGGCGTCTTCGTCCCCAAGATTCAAGTGGCCTAGACAACCCGCCTTCCGGAGTCTGTGGAGCCTAATTACATCTCTACGAGGCTCAAACCAGTGAGATCATAGTCAAAAAGGATTCTTGGCATCAAGGTCGCCATCTAAGATGACAAGTCCGTTTTAAAGGATGAACAGTCAGGATGCAGTGGCGCCAGGCGCTGTAGCGTCTGTGCGCCCGATCGTCTCCTGTGCGATCGTAGGGCACCCCGCGCCCATTTCCGCACTGAAGAAGGCGAGGCGTGGAAGGCAGACATCAAGCCTTCTAAGCGAAACCCGCAGCACTTGTCCCCTCTTATCGGCCATGAGTAAACTTAGACTCGTCCGATACTACTGAGGTTGCGACAATGCTCAAAATTTCTCGATTCACTCTCAAAACATTAAACGAAAAAGTACAAAGATACTAGTGGACATGGCTTAAGGGTTTGTGTGAAGGCCTCAGAACGTCTGATCGCGCAGCAAACAATGCTACCGTCTTGCAACTAGAACTCTGCAACGACAACCCGGAAACTTGCATCCAAAGCCATTTCGCCAACAGCGTCCGATATACAGTAAGAAGAACAAGGTGGGAAAGAGAGTTTTATGTATAAATATAAGAATACACGGATGAAAAACGCCTCAACTATCAATAACAATCATCATCTCCCCATCCACATCAATCTCCTCCAGCCCTTCGGCCAAGGGCTCTGCTGAAGACTCCCTCTCACGGGCTGCCTCGTTGTCGGCACCATTAGCGCCAGGGGCGCCGCCACCACCACCGCCGCTGCCAGCAATGACGTCACACTCACGTCGATCAAAGATGGCGGCGATACGACCGGAGACAGTGGGCGCACGAAACTGACAGAGCAGCATACTACGTAGAAGACCACCGAAAGCATCCGGTATGCCCGGCGTCTCCATGAGATGTGATTGGCCCAGAGCAATGAGCAGACCAGGGGTGATGAATGGTGGTGGGTTGGGCGGCGGCGGCGGCGGTGCCGGGCTGCGGGCCAGCGACGTGCGGTGAAACCAATCGAAACCGGCCCGAAGACGGAGACTGCGCCGAATATCGGACAGGGCAGCGGCTAATTCCCGGGGCGTTAGGCGTGAGAGGAGAGGCTCGAGGGCAGGCAGAGGCTGCGTCGGTTGACTCCCACCACATTCCTCACCTCCGTTGCGAGCCGTAGCAGAATTCGCTGCCAGCATGTCTGCAGCCAGGCGAACATCACCAAAATGACAGATGGGCAGGATGAGGGAGAGGAGGAAAGCGGTTGCCCGGTAAAGAGGGCTGCTGGGATCCACCCGACGATGCGAAAAGTCCACAAGTAACTGGTAAGAGGAGAGCGGGAAGATGATGCATGAGTTCGAGTAATATACTGGGAACCATTCATGCCCAAAAGTCTCTCTCCCTCTCTCATATGCACAGACGACGGCAGTTCGACCGTCTTGGCGGACGATGACCCCCATGTGCTTCCCCGCAGGGTGAGAGCAAGGACGGTGGCTTGCGCAGCATCTACCTCATCCTCTCCTCCTCCCCCGCCTGGGCGGAAGAGGAGACAGGTAACCGGCACGGCGAAAGCCTGCACCAAGGCGTACCACCGCGTCCCGCGATCCACAACGTACGCCAACCAGGATTATATACAGTAGATGTGCTAACTCATGAAATGTCAACCAAAATTTCGAAATGCGTTCTCGTTTCGAAAAGATAAATTAAGTAGTGTTGTAAAACTAATGATGATGCAGCATAAATCTATAATGAGCCAGTTACCTCAGGGTGTTGGCTTTCGAAAGAACTTATTTTCGGCTGCATGCAAGATCTACACTCTGCAAAAATGACTACTTAAGTAGCAGGCAATTTTCTCATTGATTTTCGGTACCCTTGAAAATTCATTTTTATTTCATGGAAAACATGCATAAAAATATTCATTCGTTTACTTTTTCGGTGGAAAATCACGTCTTCTTCCAATTTCATACTCAAAAGAAGAGTATAATTCGGTTTTAAAATTTTTTTCTAATTCTCGACTAATTTTGAACCCGACCTGCTGTTACATTTGCATTCAGGGTTTCAAAACTACAAGCTGTATATTTTTTGTGTACGGAAAACCATGCATTTCTCTACGGTGTTAAGAGGAGACTATATGAGGTTCATAAAATTAAGCAGTGGATTTGAGCAATATTGTTAACTTTACAAGGCACATTCGTAAATGCAGATACATGACGTTTCATGGACGACCATTTAACGGTATTAAAAAATCTCACAATTAGAAACGTTTTTTTAAAACCTAATTATACTCATCTTTTGAGCATGAAATTGGAAGAAGACGTGATTTTCTACCGAAAAAGTAAAAGAATGAATATTTTAGGCATGTTTTTCATGATATAATTGGCGTTTTAAGGGCATCGAAAATCAATGACAAAATTGCATACTACCTAAGCAGTCATTTTTTGCAGAGTAAAGATCTTGCATGCAGGCAAAAATAAGTCCTTCTGAAAGCCGACACCCTGAGGTAACTGGACCATTGTAGATTTGAGCTGCATCATCATTAGTTTTACAACACTACTTAATTTATCTTTTCGAAACGAGAACGCATTTCGAAATTTTGGTTGACATTTCATGAGTTAGCACATCTACTGTATAAGAGAAAAGGGGGTGACTGGAGTCCAACTGGCGCGCCGTGGACCCGCGCCTGGGCGTGCTGCCTGATGGTGGAATTTGTCATATGCATGCATCGCAAATGACCTACCGAACACCGATCTAGCCCCGCTGTGGGACATGCGCATCTACCGGGTGGCCCGTTTTAGGGGGGGGGGGCGGGGGAAACCACGATGAGGACCACCACTGTCCCGGAAAGCGGTGAACATGATTATCGGAAGGGGCGACTTCCGCAGCATGGACCTGAGTTTCTCCCTTCATACACCAATCACGTTCAAACGTCCATATGAGTGAATGTGGGTTTGACGCAGCGTTTGATCCGGCATTCGTCAATGTGTCAGTGACTAGTGGAAATGCAAATTCACGCAGCCTCGGTCGACTTCCTTGTCACCTGGTCCGTAAGGGACTGCTTCCAGTTGAAAATTCAACATTTATGACAGAAGTTTTTTCGCTGTGGGGATTCGTACTTCCGATGGCTTACAACATAACAAAACATGTTAACTCAACTGAATTACGGACTATAACAAATTTTATCTGTAAAAATTGCGGGGGAAGAGGATGTACCTCTTCTCAACAAAGCAGGTAACATAAGACGAAGGACGACCATCGCGAGGGCAGTAGTTTAGGTCTGACTTCCCAAGGAGCGAGTTAGGCCCCATCTTCGAAAAGTGGATGTTTCTGTGCAAAGTTCACGGGCCTGTGATTCAGATCGTCAATGAGAGGGGTGTTATTTCCTGAGTTATGGTTAGAGACCCGCGGGGGAGAGACGTTTAACGTAGACTGATGCAGTTACAGTGATGGTCATGCGTCCGAAACCCGCCTGTCTCCCGAAATACTACGCGATCTGCTGGCACTTTGCACCAAAGATGTTCAACTTTTGTTTAATGGGGAACGCTACAGATGAATTGACGGAGTCGCAATGGGTATTCCACTCCGGCCAACTTTCCACGACGTTTTTATGGGTTACCTAGAAGAAAAGGTGTCATCCAAATTAAACATGACAGCATTATACAGGAGATAAGTGGACGATATATTCACGATTATTGACAACAGGAAGGACGCCGCCGCCCTACCCTGTGTGATGGATAATTTGCATTCGAAAATCAGATTAACGATGGAAATGGAGCAGTGTAACAAGCTACTCTTCCTAGACGTTCGCATGTTTAGAGAGGATGATGATTCAATAAGGCGCTCCGTTTCCCACAAGATTGCGTGGAAAAGCCAATACTTTCGTTTGAAAAGTTTTGCGCCAGAAGAAATTTAGTACATACTCTTTTTCAAAGAGCGAGAAATATTTGCTCGAGGGAGACCACAGATACAGAAACGGTCCGCATCAAAGAAGCCTTACTTGATCGCGATTATCCTGCCCGCTTCATTCAGAAGTACAGCAACCATTTACGGTCAAAGTTGACGAAACAGTCTGTTCCGAAGAAGCCCGTTATAATATGCTTACCTTTTAGGGGTGACAACGTCTTAAACACAATCAAGCGACGCTTGTGTTGCACCATTGAAAGAACGTATAACGCAGCAGAACTCATTTTTATCGGTTCCACTAAAAGCCTTCCAATTAAGCGGGAAAAGGATGCCTTGCCGATGCACGCTACGTCAAATTGCGTGTATGAGTTCACATGCACTTGCGGATGCATGCAGATTGGGAGAACGCAAAGGCAGCTGGCAACCAGGGTCGCTGGACATTTGGCAAATTGGTTTTTTAAGCAGAAAAACAAAACCCCTCGTTCGTCTATAACGCAACACCAGTTCGACAGCGGTCATGCTGTCGACCCTAAAACAGCATTTTGAGTACGTGTCCCGGCGCATACAACCCGAACCTTGCGTTACTTGGAAGCAGCTTACATATGGAGGATGAAACCAGACCTATGCAAGCAGTTAGACCACGTGGTAAATCTGAAATTGCCCTGGTAACCTTCACGCCTCGATTTACTCGTGACTGTGAACTGTTGTTAACATCCCCTCTCCATCTTTCCTATATGATGCTTATGAAGACGTCTTTCAGCCGATTACTCATTGCCTTGCTCTTATACATTGACGTTCCGTAAAAATTCATACTGCTGTGCGCTTCCATTCGTTACTGTCAAGGGCTCGCGGTAGGCTTCAATTAAGATTCATTCCATTTCTGTTGCATAAGAGCTACAGTATATAGACTATCTCATGAAATGTCAACCAAAATTTCGAAATGCGTTCTCGTTTCGAAAAGATAAATTAAGTAGTGTTGTAAAACTTATCATGATGCAGCATAAATCTATAATGATCCAGTTATCTCAGGGTGTCGGCCTTCGAAAAAACTTATTTTCGGCTGCATGCAGGATCTACACCCTGCAAAAAATGACTACTTAAGTGGCATGCAATTTTCTCATTGATTTTCGATACCCTTGAAAATTTATTTTTATTTCATGGAAAACATGCATAAAATATTTATTATTTTACTTATTCGGTAGAAAATCACGCCCTGCTGTACATGCCTGTTTTCAAGCCACTCAAAACACACCAGCAAATCGGAATGAGAATGCCGAAGGATGTACTACAATGGAATGTCCTAGCATGGAAACGTGAAAACAGTTACGGAAAACGCCAGCTTGTGGAAGAGAGGGAGAGGAACTAGTACAAACGTAGCGACTGCAGCAAACGGCAATGAGCGCAAGCTTGAACCGGGCGGGGGGAGGGGTGGAGAGGGGTACGATGTAGAGTTGCCCAGATGAATGGGGAGGAGTGGACCGCGCTCGTGCGCTGTACGGTGTGCGGCAGTTGAGCTACAACCCGCTACTAGTACAAACCGTCACCCCCCCTCCCATCAACAGTAAAAAAAATCGTGAAATGTGGACGGACGCATGCAGACCAGGTGTAAGCACAAAGCATGTTTGCCAACGTAACCGAAGCACTAAATCTCCGGCTTGTGTAACAGCGCGAACATGCGCTGATGTACGCGTCTGCCAACAGGAACCTGTGGACTGGTTACAAAGCATCGAGCCCCATTCGGTCGGCAGGGCAGCGATATTCAAACGGCGGGCTGGAATCAGTCGTCCCTGTGGTTACTACATTGACCTAGTAGTCAGGGCGCAACGATGGGGTGTAGGACCCCCAAGTAACTTGAGCTACAGTGCGTGACCGACCTCATGAAATGCTGAACAAAATTCTGACATGCGTTCCCGATTAGGTAGGATTACTTAAATGGGGTTGTTATACTGATTATCATGCAGCATAACCCTATAGCATTTCGGACTCGCCAGGATGCCGACTTATGAATGCGCCCCTTTTTGACCTCCTACAGAAACCACGCTCGGTAAAAAAGACTACTTAAGTAGCATGCATTTTCCCTATTGATTTTCAATAGTCTTGCAAATTCAAATATATATTACAGAAAACATGCACAAAATAGGCTTTATTTTACTTCTTTGGTAGAAAATCACGTTGTCTTTACATTTTATACCCATGAAAGTGTATATTTAGGTTTTAAAAAAGTTTCTTAATTCCCGAATAATTTTCAGCCTGATCTGCCATGGTATCAGCGTTTAGCAATTTCAGTCTATAAGGTGCATGCTTTCCGCTTAAGGAAAATCACATATTCATCTATGTCTTTAAGAAGATACACGTAGAATTCATGAAATTTTGCAATGGATCCGGACTGTTTTGTACAGTTCAGGAGGAGCATTAGTAAAAGGGCATGTGCGGTCTTGCAGTCTTAAAAATCTCATGATTAGAAACTTTTTCAAAACCTAAATATACACTTTCTTCGGGCATAAAATATGAAGACAATGTGATTTCCCTCCAAATGAGCAACAGAAAGCATATTTTGGACATTTTTTCTGTAAAATATATTTGAATTTATAAGACTATTGAAAATCAATAAGAAAAATGCATGCTACTTAAGTAGTCATTCTTTACAGAGTGTGGTATCTGTAGGTGGTCAAAAAGGGACGCATTCAAAAGCCGCCATCCTGGCGAGTCCGAAATGTTATAGGGTTATGCTGCATGCTAATCAGTATAACAACCCCACTTAAGAAATCCTTCCTAACCGGAAACACATTCCAGAATTTTGGCTAGCATTTCATGAGATACAGTACCTGTGCTAACTCATGAAATGCCGAGGTCAAAATTATAGTGGAAAATGTAGCGTATTTTTGGTGTCGTTATTTGCGTTTATGTAGTTGAAATAAGGACGAAAAGACCGTTTTCTGAAGGAAAGTTTGATACGGATCTGTATATTAAATAGAAAACGGGCCGGATTTAGGCGAAATCGGAGGATTCCTGATATTCAAGCAGTTTCCTACGCTATTAAAGCCTTCGGATGGAAATTCTTTGTGTTACCTTATTAATCTGTTTAAGAAGATTAATAAAAGGACGAAATTTTTTAATAAACTTTCGAACAAAAAGAACAAATTAAATTTCAATATCAACAAAATCAGGGAAATGCAGATAAATTATTTCTTATTGTGTTCAGGAAATAACGTGCGATTCTTTATCTAAAAATTCTATTTTACAAATTCGTAAAGTTTTATTTTTCAAAATACCGAAATAAAAAAGTTTATCAGTGTGATTGTTTTACCAGACTGAAAATGCGTGTCGTAAACGAATATATATTGAGTTCGCGCGACATGCCGTCACTTTGCTCTGCCACGCCAAACGATAACTATGTCTAAACAATACTTATCCGAAGTTGACTTCCAGCGCATTCGAAAATTAGCGGCGGAGGGAATCCCGCGTGAGTCGTTAGCTAGTATTTTCAATATTAGCAAGGTCACTCTGTGGCGCATTATTAATGATAAAACTGTTCCTAGAAATAAGATAGGGGGACCAAAACGGTCCACAAGTAAGCAAGACGACGATTTTATTCGTCGTACATTAAAAAATTTTCATTACATGCCCATTGAGACCATTCAGCGGGAACATCTGCCGATGTTTTCTATGAACATCATTAGAAAAAGGATGAAGAAATTTGAACTGCAGCGGCGGAAGGCCATGATTAAGCCATATTTAAGTAGAAAACTAATTAGAGAACGGCTTTTATTTGCTAAGAATTATATTGATTACAGATCTTCATTTTGGAAGAGCATTTTCTTCTGCGATGAGGTTCTATTTTTAGACAAGCCTACGAAATCGCTCCAAACCGTCATATGTGGAAAGAACTTCCAAAGAGAACACACTACACCGACGGCAGCATTCAAGAACTGTCGACGGATGATGGTTTGAATGGCGATTAAATTCGGTGAGCGGCCTGTCTGGCGGTCAACATCCGACACCATCAACAGCAAGGTGTTCATTGCAATTGTCAAGGACGCTTTCGGCTACAACGGCATAAGTCGGCGCCGAATGGATACTGTAATTTTGCAGGACAATGCACCTGTCCACCGCTCTAAAGAGGCACGAATTTGATGCCGCTTGCAAATATAATCTAACATTTTAGACAACAACCACGCTCTCCGCAATTGGCCTTCAATCCATTTTCATCCCGGCCAACAGTCCCGATTTGAATCCTATCGAAAATCTTTTTGGAATAGTCAAAAGAAATTGGCACAAAGCTAAGAAGACTCTTTCAATGCAGGAAAAATTGGATTTTATACTCAATAATTACATTTTACAATCCACCATAGATAACCTTGTCATGTCTATGTCGGACAGACTTTCTGCTGTTATTAATTCGAATGGACAATCTACAAAGTACTAATTTTTTGTATCTGTTTCTATCCTTAATTATTTTTGACCTTTTATGCGCCCTCCTCCTTTATACGTCCTCATACGTAGCCTTTATTAACTTGGTTGTAATATAGGCGTTTCTCGAAAATGTGACTTTTGTCGAAAATTATTTATTTTTATCTCAGTAAATAATATTTTCTAAACCAAACTTTGCTTTATTTCTTTGACACATCGTTTATTTTCCGCCATCAGACTTTGGGAGCCGTAGTGTTTACCGATTTTGCGTTAAAGTCGTTAACCTGTGTTAATTCGTGACATTTCATGAGTTAGCACAGGTACTGTAGGTCACGCACTGTAGCTTGGAGACTGTCATACGTTGAAAGGTGGTAGAGGGGGGTTTTACGGGTGAAGCAACTTGCAGGACGGAGAGCAAGATACGTAGATACATTTCTGTTGAAAGTCTTGTCGCATGCAGTCATTTGACTATAAAATTGAGCGCAACAATAAAAAAGAACAAATAAAAGGCGATTTTCAGAAAATAAGGGAGGGGGAGAGGGGTGGTGGGTGATCGCATTGTCTTTTTCGGAGCTGCTCCCTGGAACTCCGCTCGTGTTGGGTCTTCACTGTGTGCTTTCATTACTCTTCGCTCTGGCTAGCGGCATCTGTTTTCTTTCGGTCCCGAAATTCGAACCAAACTGTGTCCTGAGGCTGTAACTCCGACAACTTACCAGGCCAGTCTTGTTCAGGTGGCGGCTGGCCTGGCACAGAACATTTACCTGGAAATGCCACAGCCCTCCCCAACCTCCGTACAAACTGAACCAGACTACATAAACGGATTCCTAAGGGCTGGCATAGCCATATTGTTAACTTTACAAGCCACATTGGTAAATGCAGAGACATGACGTTTTATGAACGGGCATTTCACGATATTAAAAAACCCCACAATTAGAAACTTTCAAAAACCGAATTATACCCTTCCTTCGAGTATAAAATTGGAAGAAGACGTCATTTTCTACCCAATAAGCAAAATAATGAATATTGTTATGCATGCTGTTCATGAAATATATTTGAATAGTTAAGGGCATCGAAAATTGGTAAAAAAAATGCATGCTAATTAAGCAGTCGTTTTTGCAGAGTATCCTTTTTGCATGCAGCCGAAAGGAAGTTCGCTGGAACGCCGACATCCTGAGGTAACTGAATTATTATTGAATTATGCTGCACGCTTATTAGTTTTACAACCCTACTTAATTAATCTTTTCGAAACGAACACGCATTTCGAAATTTCGGTTGACATTTCATGAGTTGACCAACCTACTGTACGCCCAACGCTGACTGAATATATGGAAACAGTGGAAGCACACGCGATGGGCGACATTGTCATGATTGGTGGGTTCCTGGGCACGTAAGACTGAATAAGCCCATGCGTGGAGAAGGGGAAGGGAGAGCGGGGGGCGTGATGGGAACTGGCCCGTGCTCCAGGCACTAGTTTTCCACTCGTAGCACGATGGATTCGTGGGTGTCCAACCAGGCTTATACAGGACTGCCGCGTGTACGATCGTAGTTTGGGTAAGATGGCGCTGTGTCTTGACGATAGCCCACTATGTGAGTGAGCTAGGACTGGAAAGCGAATCTATAGTGAGGACGGGCGTCGGGATGTCGTCAGTGACGATGATAATGGTGGTGGCAGCGATAGCAGTAATGGTAGCGGTAGTAGTAATAGTAGTAGTAGCAGTAGTAGTAGTGGTGGTATTAGTAGCGGTAGTAATAGTGGTAGTGGTAATGGTGGCGGTAGTGGTAGTGGTACTGGTAGTAGTAACAGCAGCGGCAATAGTAGTGGTAGCGGTGGCGGCATTGGTGGTGGTAGTCGTAGTAGCCACAGCAGTAGTAGTAGTGGTGGTGGTAGTGGTAGAGGTAATGGCGGCGGTGATGGTGGTAGTAGTAGTAGTAGTAGCACCAGTAGTGGTTGTGGTAGTAGTAGTAGTAGTGGTAGTAGTAGTAGTAGTAGTAGTAGTAGTAGTAGTAGTAGCAGCAGCAGCAGCAGTTGTAGTGGTGGTGGTAGTAGTAGCAGTAATAGTAGTAAATTTTATAGCGAATAAGGAGATTTTTCCCTTTTGATACATCGATAGATCTAAAGGTCCCAAGGGAAAACAGCTGTCACACCGAACGTCAGTTAACGTTGTAGACCGACTGATGGGAATTGATGTTGACTGCGCTGGTCACCAGCATGCCAAAAGACAAACTGCTACGGCAGGAAACGGCCGGAGTCGGTTACCAGATCTGGTGAGGCTGCGGACAAATCAACAACGTCGGAGAGACCGGGAGATTACTCCGAACGCAAATGACAGTGAATATTCAGAAGCAGTGAGGAGCAGTAACGTAAGCTCCCAGAACGCGGTTCATTTAACGTGACTCGGCCACGTCTTCAAGTTTAACGTGGACGAAATTCTTGCTAAAGGTGACAACCGCGTAAGCTGCGACCGCTTGAGTCAGGATTCATTGACCAGCATTCGATTAACAAGCGCAATGACCTTCCGCCTCCATATCCTGCACTGCCATTTTGTCTGGTCAAAAAAAATAAATAACCAAGCGGGGAGGGGGCGGGGGGCGACTATCAGTTCCGGTGGCAGCGATTCAGAGAACCGAGTAATCGTTGTCCTAGGAATCAAGAACGGTGATGGAATAGCGGACATTAACGACTCAGGTATGGACCCGAAACTAATCATCGCATCAAATACGACTCCGAGCGATAACAAAAATGATAATAATTGTACAGTACGTGACCTATCTCGTGAACTCTGATAACGGAAACTGATCAGAGAATTTCTGGACGGCTTTAATGTTGAGCATTTTGTTCGCTCATCCACTCCCTTCAATAAAATGTCCTTTTCCTGTACAGAAATTGTGTTTACGTAATTATATCAAGTAAAATATCAGTAAATTTTGGCGAAAATAGACGTTGGAATTTATTCTTGCGATTTCCTGTGCTAATACATGTCCTAGACTCCGGTTATGCATCTGAGCGACTTTTTCATTGTAAGGATGGTAGTTTTACCCGCGAGTTTTAATAGACAGATTTAGCCGACCTTGAAAATTTATTTTGTGTCCGATGTTAACTGTGGTAATTAATCTGCTGACACAAATGTTATTTTAAGAAAACCAGAGGTTTTTTCAATTCCTTAATGTCAAATTAGCAGATCTGTGCGATTTGGTGCCATAAAGTGCAATAATAACGAAGACAGAGATTCCTTCGTTTAAGTGGGCTGAAATTTTTTTGCCGTTTGGAAAATTCTACCTGATGTCACATAGATGACCACCACGGAATGGTCATTTCCAGCTTTAAACATATGGTACACTACTTCTCTAGTGTTTCAGCTTTTGCACAAACTTTTTTTAGAAATAGAACGAGCAAAACATTTTTAGTTTCATCAGAATATCAGTATTTATATGGGCGCTCTGCCGTGCATTCATAATCGAAGAACGGAGCCTAAAAGCGAGCAAAAACAGTGAAAATGGCCTCAATGTATAGAGAAAGGCATGTTCTTCCGTTTACGGTAGAAAAATATTAGTATTGCTTAGGAACGTGAAAGAAACCGTCAAGTGTCAAATTTTTACTTGGCCTCACCGTGCAAAAATGCAAAGTACACAGAGATCCGTCGACGGTGTGCAGTAATGAAGCACTTCTCAAAGAGGTAACTTATTAAGGAACGTTTTCTTATTGATCGAAGGCATATTCGTTGCTGACATTCGTTGTGGACAGACACTTTTCTCGAAAATGAAGTTTGATGTTTGAATTAGTCTTCAAATGTGACCCAAACGACCATCTTCGTGAAAAGGAGTGCCTGAACACTTACTAATTCGGTAAATGCCTACAAGAACAATCTTATTTTGAAGTTATCAACAGACAGGTAATTCAGAATCTGTCTTTATATAAGATCGGGTGAGAACACTGAAAATCATGAAGTTTTCAGCAACATTTCGAGGCTGATCTGAAATTCAACGTAATCCACAACGAACGAGAAGTGTAAATAAATTTAACGGAAGAGAAGTTCTCTCTATAAACACAAAATGGTTTGTTTATGATCACGTCTGTCAGTCTCATTGCGCGTCACCTTATGAAAACTTTTGTTCCTACGACATCCCCAACGGTGAAATCAAGCAAAATTTAGCTTCTCTCGTTGAACCCCATCTCATTTACTTTAAACAAATAAAAACAACCCGGAATCATTGGAAAACTGTTTCGGAATCAATACTCAGAATGTAGGCAGTTGACAAACCGTCACATATGAGATCACGCTACTTATTAAACGATATCTAGATAAAAACTTCACTAAACACTGCTATTAAGCGTTATTGTATGTCTACTTCCATATTTACTACGTTTTTGGTGTGTGAATACATTCTATATATCTAAAAACGAAGGCTACTAAAGCAGAGCCATTTCTGACGTTTTGGGGATATTGCGCTTTTCAAAATAAATCGGCATTTCTAAGCAACGCAACACTGCCTTTAATATTTCTTTAATATTTTTGATTCTTTTATACTTGTACTCAATTAACATAGAGACTGGACTCATGAAATCATGTCGGTTTGCGAGTGATTGGCAATCATTCGTAAATTTCGACACATTTCATGAGTTAGGTCAGTAACTGTAGGTCTATGGTTGCGGAGCAACTGCCTCCTATAAATACTGCACTCCATGTACCTCTAATACCCTCTTCTGTGACAGTCTCTGATAATGAGTTCGAGTGAGAATCCGAAACGTCAGGCCAGCTGTCATATCTTATTCTTCTGATACGGATTGCGGTATTGCGTGCTTATTACCTCGCCTCGGCCACAAAGACGGCTACTTCAGACATTATGGCAGTATGTCAAGCCTACCGATCCCACTCAAGGACTTCCCAGATCTCTCAGTCGATTTCCAGGCTCTTGAGAGGGGTCTTGGGGTGGTCTTGCTTCATGGCAGCTGCCCCCCCCCCTCTGTCTGTGTGCATACGTAGCGATGTCGTGGTAGAACGGTCGCTCGTCAGCTATCCCTCAGAAATATTGTCCCTCCGTAGCTTTGACTCTCAGTAAAACAGCCTACTACTGGGTGTTCAGGATCAGCTGCCGGTCGCAGTTGCCGACAGAGTTAAATGCTCCATCTATGAGTGTCACAGGATAGTCCGACCGTCAATTCCGACGATGTCAACCGTGTGCTCCACATCAAGCTGGGAGCAGGGACGGCGACTTGTGCGTGAATTAGATTATAGCGGTAGTAGACACGCACAGCATCTACCGTACTCTCTCCTCCTCCCCCTCCCCCATCTGGGACCGGTGTCTCAAGTCAGCCTTGCTTGAACTGTCTACTGCTGCTGCGGGAAGGCGAGGCGAGAGAGAGAGTGCGGTCGGTCCAGTTCTCGGACTCAGCGCATAACTTTCTCACTATTGAGAGCTAAACCCACCTCGAAAATATCACGAAACACTAACAATTGAGGCCGAAATGCCTGCTAGCTGAGTGGGGGACTCGGTCCTACTGAGAGAACTCAGTCAATGGAAGCGAAGAGGCAAGTCCCAGGAAGCAGTCGTGATGAAGGAGACACGATCATGTCTCCTGCTTCAGAACTCAGTCATCCTGAGGCCTCTATATCATCCTCACCTGCTTGCGATCAGAGGCCCCTCAATTGAACTCGGTACGTGCGGAGTTAAGAAACGGGTCGTGTGTGACGCGCGCTCCAAACGGGTTACATGAAAGACGCGCTGGACCAACACGGGGGCCATATCGGATTCTGGCAGGCGTTATCGGATTGCGGACCGTACTCTTTCCTCCTTCGCCTGCCCCATCTGGGACCGGTTTCAAGACAGAGTCATGAAAACCGGAGGCGAAGGGAGGGCGCAGGTGTATGGCATGGTGGAGCCCGCACCTTGGCGTTCCACTCCACACCCCCTGGTCCACGCAACAAATAACCAGATTTTTAACCAGCAACAATAATGGGGGTGTGTCAGGGGTCCCAGGGTGCGCGACGACTGCTGACAACCGGGTTCGCCATCGCATCCCGAAATTTCGGTGCACGATCCGATAACGCCTACCAGAATCCGATATAGAACTGTGCAGTGATTCACCGTACCAACAACACAGGTATTTGTTAAAAGCTAAAGGCTGCCTGTTGGCGGTTTGTGAATATTAGGCGGCTATTCCGCAGTAGCTGATGGATTTCAGCTCAAATATTCATATCAAAATTTGGAACGTGCGTGAAAAGGCCCGTCCCGAAAGATGTATTTCAAGTTCGCGCATTAATTTCCTTCGAAATTAAACAAGCCAAGAATCCGATATGGCCCCCGTGCTGGTCCAGCGCGTCTACCATGTAGCCCGTTTGGAGCGCGCGTCACACACGACCCGGTTCTTAACTCCACACGTACCGAGTTCTAGTGAGGGGCCTCCGATCGCAAGCAGGTGAGGATGATATAGAGGCCTCAGGATGACTGAGTTCTGAAGCAGGAGACATGATCGTGTCTCCTTCATCACGACTGCTTCCTGGGACTTGCCTCTTCGCTTCTATTGACTGTAGGATGGAGTCCCCCACTCAGCTAGCAGGCATTTCGGCCTCAATTGTTAGTGTTTCGTGATATTTTCGAGGTGAGTTTAGCTCTCGATAGTGAGAAAGTTATGCGCTGAGTCCGAGAACTAGACCGACCGCACTCTCTCTCTCTCTCTCTCTCTCTCTCTCTCTCTCTCTCTTCGCTTTCCCGCAGCAGCAGAAGACTGTTCAAGTAAGGCTGACTTGAGACACAATTAGTCACATAGGATCGCAGAACGTGAAGTTGCCGACCGACGTGTGTGCCTCAAGTGAGAGGTATGCAGAAACGTACACCACAATGAAGGACCCTGATCAACTCACCTTGTTGACGCGTGCCCTGGAAACCTCAGGAAGACCGAGAAGGGGGAAGACGCCGAGAGCAATCTGTACAGGACTGGTGGGGTCGTTCGGATCCGAGGAAGCCGGGGAGGGCAGTCCGCGGAAGGGGATCTTGGGCGCGAGGGAGGAGGCCCAGGAGACTTCAAGGCCGGCCAGCAGACCAATCACAACACGAACGAGGGGGAACAGTGGTTGCGGCGTCTGCGGCCACAGTGACAGGGGACGCAGCTGCGCGGGGGCGGCTGTCGACGGCGCAACTTGCGTGGGAGGGAGATAACAAAAAGGACAGTATAAGAGAAAGGCAAATGCCGACAGACAAGTGCTGCTTCTCGAGAAGGCCTGCGAGAGGTTTTGAGGAGGAGATGCGTTCTAAGGCAAAGATCCTTTACCTAGGACCCAAATAGCCTCGCTCCCTGCAACAACGCCTAGAGCTAAGCACGGTGGGCCAAACGGTCCGCAAGCAAGCAAGACGACGATTGGAATCGTCGGACACTGTAAAAGTATCATTATGTGCCCCTTAAGACTCTTTACAGGAAAAACCTGTCAGGGTTTTCTTCGCTCATTATTAGAAAAAGAATGAAAGAATTCGGCCTCCATCGGCACAACGCAATGACAAAGCCATTTTAAGAACGTCTTCTGTTTGCTCATAAATATATTGATCGCAGACCTTCATTTACTTCTGTGATGAGGTCTTAATTTTAGACAAGCCGCCGAAGTCGACTCGGGTGATCATGTGTGGGAAGAACTTTCCACGAGAGCACACTATATCGGCACCAACATTCAATAACTGTCGACGCCTGATGGTTTGGACGGCCATCAAATTCGATGAGCAACCGGTTTGGCGTTTAACTATGGAGACGATAAATAACAGGGTGTTTATCGACATCGTAAAGGATGCATTCATCGATGTCGAAGGGACACCGTAGTGTTGCAGGATAATGCCCCTGTTCACCGCTCGAGGGAGGCATGATTCCAATTCAGCTTACGACTACAGTCAAATATTTTATACCACAGCCCGCCTCTCCGCCCGCGGTCTTCGAAGCATTTTAATCCCGCCAACGGCCCAGACCTTAGCCCAGTCGAAAATCATTTTGCGATAATAAAAAGGAACTGGGACAAGGCAGCTAAACGTCTTTCAATTCACCAAATATCTTAGACCACAACCCGCCTCTCCTCCCGCGGTCTTCGAAGCATTTTTATCCCAGCCAATAGCAAGGGCTTTAACCCAATCGAAAATCATTTTGAGTTAATCAAAAGGAATTGGGACATTTCAAGAAAACATTCTTCAATGCACCAGAAGTTGGATTTTGTGCTTATTAATTATATAAACCAATCCACCATAGACAACCTAGTAGTCTCCATGCCCTTCCGCCTCACAGAAACTTTAAAAACAAAAGAACAATCGACAAAGTACTAATGCGTTGTATTTGTGACAGTTTTTCATTTTTTTGTCGTTGTATGACGCCCTCCTTCTCTGCTGAAAGTTATATTAGGCCTTAAATAATTAACCTGTCATAAAGTCGTTTTTGACGTGGTGGTAAGATCTTATTTCGTAGCCGCATCTGTTAGGGGTTAGGGTCAGGAGCTAAGGGTTAGGGGTTAGTGTTAAACCCCTATTACCACCGGTTCCGTGTGGCAGGCGGCTGGGGCTTGTCTACTGCAGGTGTGGCTGCGAAATAAGATCCGACCGACGAGATTCCTCGGAGGAAATGCGAATGCCCATTAGAAATGGTTGTCCTACGAGAGTTTTACATGACGGACCCTCTTTCGCTGAACCTCGATGAGGTACTCGGCTGACACCTCTCGGTAATCGTGAGCGTGCTAGCCGCTGGTTCAAAGGGCTGGTCATTTTAACCGGAATTTAGGGTCAGATGCGGTTATGTGGCCCCACCTGATGTAAACAAACCCCACCCACCTGTAATACGGAACGGATGGCAATAGGGGTTTTTACAGGTGGGGCCGGGGAACACACAGGTGGCGAGATCAAGTAATTATATGCAAGAGGAAAGCTATTGGGAATGCGCGGTTGTACTTTGAGTGGTTAAGAAATAATTGTCCTAACTCCTAACTCTAACCCCTAACCCCAATCCCAACAGTATTGTGTCCTGAAGAAGGAGACACGATCGCCGGGACAAGAGCTTTATTAGCCTGACGTTTCGGATTCCTACTCGAATCCATCATCAGAGACAAAAGAGCAGAAACGGGTGGTTGTTGCACAAGGGGCTGCGGTATTTATAGGATGCAGCAGCTATGCTACCGCATACCTATGAACGTTCACGGCTTCCCCTTCATCCGGGATTGTCACACTTGGGGTGATCATTGCTTGATGGCCGACATTCGAGTCGATAATTGCTGCAATTTCATCACGTGCGTTGGATGTTGGCGTGATGATTGCTCGACCATCTGACGCGTTGACCCGGGTGTTGGGAAGAGTGTTCACCAGTGCGCTCCGAAACGTCAGGCTAATAAAGCTCTTGTCCCGGCGATCGTGTCTCCTTCTTCAAGACTACTTCCTGGGACTCGGCTCTTCGCTTCTATTGGCAAAGTATTGTGTACATAACCACATCTTACCGAATTTAGTTTACTAAGTCCAGCAAGATAAATCGTTAGATGTTTTTTGTTCCGACGGATTGATCAATGCTCCATAGTCTGACCTAAGGAAAATGCCCGAATTATCGAAAGCTATACACTGCGTCGAGTGTCCAGCACGCTACCCAAGACAGTCAATGATCCGGCTCCAACCAGGCACTAGTGTAAGGTCTAGCCGAGGGGACACTTGGAGCGGCAGGATTTGAGAAGTCAGCTTTGACTTCAAGGAAGTGCTGTAGTGGCGGCTGAGATAGATTCCTCTTTTGGTAGGAGAACGGACAACACAAGCGGCAGCGCAGTATCCTGCCTCGAGGACGGGATGGTAAGATCCTACTTCGTCGTCGCGCCTGTTAGGAGTTAGGGGTTATTGTTAGACCCCCCCCTATTACCAGTGGTCCCGTGTAACAGGCAGCTGGGGCTTGTCTACTGCAGGTACGGCTACGAAATAAGATTCGAGCAAACAAACTGTTTTTTAGCCAACAGTACTGTACGGACCAAACTATGCCTCGATTTGAAGTTCGGTCGTATATTTAACGCAGGATAACTTTCGCGGAGACGGGGTGGGCGGTTTGTGCGCTACAGTTCGCGACCTTTCACGGGATAGGTCACGAACTGTACGCGGGTTTTGCACGACCTCGCAGCCATCTTGTCGACATGCGCGCTAGAACACAACACTGGCGGAAGCGCATGTGCTGCCGGATCAAATAGCCCAACATGTATCGAGCATCAACGGCCCGGACAATAAGTCGGACGCCATAGGATTCTGTGCATTAAAAGATCGGCAAAAAACGGGTGACCAAGGATAAGGCTTTCAACACTAAGTTGCAAGTATGACGGACGCATAAAACCTTGTGATGTTGGACGGCGAAATGTTTGCCGTGTAACAATTAGTAAAGCTGGGCGGCAGTGAAGTGTTGAACTGAGAAGAATAAAAAACAACTTTGAGGGGTTAGGCTCAGTCTTTTCGGATCCTAATTTATTCGGCGAACGGGTTGCAATCGAGTGGAAGGTGGCGAAGAAATTACATGAGTACTCCTCAACCTAGGACCGCCATAGCGTGCTTTTGGCTTTGTGCCTTAGTCTCGGGAAGACAAAAACTCCAGAAAAACGGGGTTTGCGGACAACTCGGAGCGTCTAGAAGTGGTAGAAACAATTCGCGGCAGTTTGACCGTCGCAATCGGCGGCGTGCTTTAGGTGTCCCACGGAGCGGACGCTGAACCAGTGGCTTCCGCGTTAATTAGTTTATAGTGAATGTGGACTTGCGAAGCATCTACCGCACAGCTCGTCTGCGCGTGTTCGCACTGCATGCACCAGGCTTTCAAGAAGAGTGGGTCAGACTTAAGTCTGAGAGGTAGGTTCAATGGCTCCAGTTTACCTCACCGGTTGGCAACTCTAAAAAGCACTATTTTTAATGCATAGTGATGGGCATTTAGTCTTAGCTAACGCGGCTTGTAGGCTTACATGAAGCGTGTCCCACACACGTACAGCAGTAGTTGTAGACATAGGCAGACTTGGCACAGCCTGATAAACACGTGCCGTGAGCCAGTCAGGCGTCCCTCTTGGTTCAGCGCCTTTGCAACACAGACCCTAGCGGGTTGTAAACACAATTCACGACGCTGTTCGCAATCAGATAAGGCTTCACTCGTCGCTCGACTAAGTTCAGGGGACCTTAAACTGGTGTACCGAAAAGCTTATATGGAGAAATCTGCTCTCAAATCCACGAAACACTGGAGACCAGGATCTGTTAAGCCATCCTGCGACACCGATGTTCAGTCAGCCACAGCTTAACGAAATTTTTGGACAGTCAGAGGCCTGTGGCCAACGTGCTCTGGTTGGAGATACCGGTGGAAAGTAGCCACATGGGAAGCTGGGTCTCATCTATCACCTGTAAATTCGTCTATCGGTTAATGAAATTCGACAGGATTGGGACTACTACGGACACTGAGAAGCTATTCGCCTGAAACCATTCATTTCCAACAGGCGTTACAATCGAAGGCGCTCAGTGTAGTTTTCCACACGTGGAGGCCTAGTCAGGTGAGCATGGAGAGAGGGCGATGAGCTCGGCAAAGCAAGACCGCGGATAGTGTGGATGTGGACAGAAAAAACGCGCGCAGCCAGCATGCAGGTGTACCTTCGGTTGGCGTCTTGGCTGCTTCATCTCCCCCCACCGGCAAGGAGGAGATGGTGTCCGTGTGTGAGACCACCAACTCCAGGAGACCCCAGAGTATTCGACGACTGTTGTCCTCCCGCCTGCCCCCAATGCTGCCCTGAACACCGTTCACGCGATCGGGCAGGAATAGGCGCAGCAGGCGTAGGGTTCGTTCCAGTCCGGTACCTGTTGGCTGGGTGACGAGAAGAAGGGGTGTGGGCAGGGTAGAAATGGAAGTCTGGGGGAGACGAGCGCCCAGCGGAAGCAGGGCGTCTTCCAGGGCCTGACCAAGTAGATGACGACGCTGCCAGTAGATGTTGCCGTCATCTGGGGTCTCTGAGGTCTGCGGCCGTAACAGCCTGCCTACCATGTTCGTCCACAACCGCCAGACCGGCAACCAATCGTCTAAACAAAAAAAGACAGAATTGGCAGACGGATTGGTCGATCTTATCCGGCAGTCGACGTTGGAGACTCTATAAGCTGAGCGGGGTGACAATATAAAATGAGGGTAGACTGAAAGTCAGCAGGTACCGTCAACAAAGGTCTGCTCAAAATTAAGGCCAGAATTAAAGGAAACCAGTATGAGTCCTGCAAGGGATGGACATTGACTTCAACAGTGGAGATAATGCGATGAGGATGGGAACCCGGTATAAGGTTGCTAATTAACTTCAACTTACGGACCTCACGATGGACCACAGCGAAAAGAGCTCGACAACGTTGAAGAAGAAGATGCCAACGGACCCCACCATAGGTGTAGACTTGGCCATATGGCAGCACGAAGTTTCACCTCCTGGAATATCCAATTTAGGCTTGCATTCAAGCTAACACTTCTAAGCTCCCGTACACGAATTTTAAGGCAAGAAGGCCCGCTGTTTTTAAAGCACGAGTCAGACCGATCCTATGTCCTTCCCCATCCGCCAGTAGACTAATTTTGCCAGATCCCCTGAAATAGGGGAATGGTTGAATTTGGGGTTATGATGGTGGGGAAAATGAAATGGCGAAAATCAGTAACGTAAAAAGCCAGAAAAAAATTATTTTTGTGTTTCTACGATTCCCCTCTTTAAGTTTGCCAATATGGACGCAAGGAGGTGCTCGCAGCATATGCAGTGCACTGGAGCTGTACTCCAACTGGATGTAATATGCTCAAACAACTGTTTTCTTCTCCTCAATAACCAACCCCAAAAGTGACACAGGCAAACATGCAACACCATCATTTGCCCGCACAGTCCCCGAGATTATAAACTGGTAAGAACCCTGCTCGCAAAAGCCACTAGCATGGTAATATGAACGTCGCCCCAAACAACGAACAGTGGTGACTGGGCCCAAACGTGTTCACCCCACAACCGGTTCGTCGTTGCTTGTCAAGTGCTAGAGCCCCAAACGTCCGAACGTGGGATGGTGGTAACTCGCCGTAAAGCACATAAATTCAAAGTCTTTTGGGGTGTAAGTCAGGCCCTAGAGCCGCTGCTACAACCATAGGTAAGTATGAACAGCACGCCAAACAGACGATGTTTGTAAATGGCGTGTCAGCGTTTAGGTGTTCAGACCAAAAGACATCATGAACAGTTACATTACTAAAATAATTCTACTGATACTAAATAAGTAGTAAATCGAAGTTCGCTGATGTTATCGTTGCGACAAGCCGGTCTCTAGAAGGCATGAAACATGTCGTTGGCAAGCGTAACGCATCAAAAATTTTGACCGAAATATCAGTGGGTAGTATGGCAAACATCCGGTGTTGGCACTTTCGTTTGCTGGATTCACTGGAGCGACAGAAAGCTTTTTACTAAAGAGTTCATTCCAAATCTGTTCTATAAAAGGAAAACAGAATAGTTTTAGATAAAATCGGACATTACCGAGAGCCAAGTAATTTCCCTATGTTGTTGGGTATTACGGATCAAGGCCCTTTGTTTGTGCGTATTCTGTCATAAAAACATGCTAGTAAAGTGAGGAGAGTTTCAATAGGCTCGCCGACGACCACCCACTGGCTGTACAGAAGCTTTTAGAATGTGTGAGGAGGGGGGGGGGGAGGAATGGGGAGGGAAAGGAGGGGTGGGGAGGAAGAGGGTGAGGGGAGGGGGAGTAGGAGACATTTTTAATGGGAGAAGAAAAACGCTCACCATGTTCTTTAGGCGGTGACACGGTAAAAATTCGCCTATTTGTGGCAGGAGGCAGGCCGACCCGTGGCACGATATCTGGGACCAATGATGGTGGTGAAGATAGAAGGAGATTTTCACCTTTTGGTGATGTCAGATGTTTCCAGTCGTTCCTACCACCTCCCATCTCAGAAGGCTCGAAGAAGAAGTCTTTGGGCAGGTTGACAGGCTCGGCATGCTTGAGAGCCTCTGCAGGCGCCGTTACAGATAACGGCCTCTGCGTGGAGGTCTAAAAGTGGCATTAGGAAGAAAAAATTAGGGGCTATCCATACGGGTAGTGCTGGTGTTCATTAGCTGTGATTGGAATTATTTTCGCTCGAGGTTGCAGTATCAGCACCCTGGTTCACGTTTACATTAAACATTCGATGCAAAACTATTGTGGACAGCAGGAACGCTATTGGTGAGCAAAAAATTTCGTATGCTAATCACTGGGGTCCCTAACGGCAAACGCCTGTTTTGGCATATTACTTATGCTGGTGTTCTGGCTAGCATAGCTAGTGTAAACCAACGAACTTCCAAGAACCAAACAAGCTATATTCTCAAAGACAAGTGAACTAGTAAGATCCTGGTTTAACTGCTGTTTCATCTCACTGTAGTTGATATCGGAAAATAACAATGGCATAAACCAGCAGTCTCTATAAAAATTAATAACAATGCATCTACCCCCTTCTTCTTCGTTCTCTCCAATACGCAGCCTGTGAGATCTTGTATTTCAAATTCTCCTAAAAGCAAATGCTTTTAATCCTTAATCAGCCTTGTGAGAACCATCCTTTAGCCCTGTCGTTTGACCCACAAAATGCACCAGGTTTTCGGGGAAAAGCGACTTGGATCTCACATGTCTGAGAGCGCCATAGGAGTCATACTGAGGAGCCATCGAGCCAGACACCTCGCCGTCGCGTCCGACGATGTCCACCGTCCGCCCTACAACAGGGCGGAAGCAGGGACGGTGACTTGCGCAGGATTATAGTGAGAGTAGACTTGCGCTCCATCTACCACACTCTCTCCTCCTATTCCCCACCTGGACCCCGTGTCAAGACAGAGTCAAGAAGAACTGGAGTCGGGGAGGGCGCAATAACCCTAACACCACCACCTCCCGGTATGGATAGGCTGTGTGACCCTAACCCTAGCCTTTCTAACCTTAACCCCAACCGATAATTCGACTATGTCCACCATGTGCTCCAAAGCAAGGGGAGAGCAGGGACGGTGGCTTGTGCGTGAATTAATTTATAGTAATAGTAGACGTGCGCTGCATCTACCGCACTCCCTCCTTCCCCATCTGGACCCAGTGTAAAGGAGGAGTCAAGAAGACCGAAGATGGGGGAGGGTGCAGGTGGATGGCACGGTCGAGCCTGCACCTAGGCGTTCCACTCCACACCCCTGGTCCACACAGCAAATAACCAGGTTTTTAATTAACCACAACAATGGGGCAGTGGCGGGGCCCCAGTGTGCGCAACGCACGCCGGCAACCGGGTCCGTCAACGCACCGCGAAAATGTTGGCATTTGTGACGGTGCGCAAAGCCGATAACGCCTGCTAGAGTCCAATATGCCCCCCCCCCCCTGTTGGTCCAACGTATATACCACGTGACCCATTTAGGGGGGAACAAAAAGAGAGATGTCAGCAACACCCCGTATTACCAGCCGGTCACCCTTGAAAGTACTAACCGGGTCCAACGTAGCTTAACTTCGGTGATCGGACGAGAACCGGTGTTTTCTACGTTGTATGGTCGCCGAGCCCCGCATACACACAGTACTCACCACGAACACCGAAGTATCCAGCCAGCTGACATGAATCAACAATGCTGACAGGCGATGTAGTGTCTACCAGAAAGCAAACGGGGAATGCTGGGGGACCCAGTGAAGAGCCGAACTCCTCGCAGCTGTGCCATGCAGCGGCAGAATATCCGCGAAACACGCGTGTCTGGGCTTTTAGCGAGTACCTATGATGCTGGTATGGTGTCTTGTAACCCTAAAACGATGATCAGTCGGCCAGAATTCTAATCGCCAGTAGTAAACGAAGGACGCACAGAGATTAACCAAACAGCTTGAGAAAAACTCCTCCTCCAATAGTACTAGTCGTCATCACAGAGAGAGGAGAGAGAGAGAGAGAGCTGGATACAGGAATTGCATTATTTATGGGTGATGGAGGTTGCTGTGTGGTCGAAAAACTATACAGCGGAAGGGAGGACGATCTGCCTGGACTTTTATTGGCGAACGGACTACTCCAAAAGGGATGCAATTAATTTCACACCCTTCCCCCCCCCCTCCAAAAGGCCCCCCCCCATACTTACGTGGGAAGCGGTGAGGCGGGAGACGGCGCTCTGCGCGAGGGTAGTCAGCGCAGCTGAGCATATTAGGTGATCCGCGTTTGTCAACTTCTGCAGGAGGTCTTGACAACGGACCAGGAGGGAGAGCAGGCCGGGCAGTGAATCCAGGCTGCGTAGATCCTCTATGCGGTTCAGGAGGTTGACAAGGGCGTCCATCAAACGACAGCCCATTGTTACGCTCTCTCTGGGGGCGAAACACAGGGGGGACGCGGTGGGTCTGCTGTCGGGGATATTACGGCAACGATGATTCAGCGCGAGGTGGATCAAATCCAGAGTCGTTGAAATGACCTAGAGGGGGGGGAGGGGAGAGGGGTACGGAAAAGCAAAAGTGTACAACACAAAAAGAGGCAATAAAATAATCTTGATTTACGTATGTTTGATTTCCTCGGACAACAAACGGCTACAGCTCCACAGGAAAGGGAAAATAAGCTGTGGGCGCGGTTAGTCTGGCCGCGTAGTGAGTACTTCAATTTCGACTATACCAGATGCAAAACGTGTAACACTTGCCTTGTGGTTCGTTCCACTGCATGATCACAAAACTTAATTTGTATGACATTAGGAAATGTTTGTCTTGATAATGCCTTGAAATAAATGTTTTTTCTACAAAACTCGGGTCCAAGACCGAAATGCACGCACACGAAAGTACTGTTATAGTGCCCTCTACGATGAGGCATTCTAAAATCCACAAAATTTCACAATAAAAATGGGACAACTTACATACCTGTTGAGTAGTATATTTAGGTATAAATTGCGTAAGATGTCTGACTCACTCTTTTTTGGGTAGAATAGGACGCATTTTTAAATATCGAGTGCTTATTTTCCTAGTGAGCCTTTGTCAGAAAAAAGTAGGTATTTTCGTCGGCGATTTAGCACTATCCCAGGGCTTGTTATTTTCGTATCTTCCATAAGCCGCATCAAAAGTAGTTGTTACTTATTGCAATTATTTACAAACTCTGTATTACGCGCCAAACTCTGTTTCCTACTTCAGTAGTGAGGAAGGTAAACAGCGTTCTGAAAGCATTAGATCACTAATCTGAATTTTCAGATGATTATAGGGCTCCATCTTAATTGCTTGGTTACCTCATATTAGCTTGTTCTAACGCGTCCCGCCAAAAACTCTAGGTGAAAGTCAGTGCATTACCATCTCGGTAATCCTATACTCTAACTTCACTTGGGAACATGCACGACCGAAATATGTACGGGATGAACGAGGGACGACAATAAACAAAGCCTGAGAGATAGTTGTGACATGCGATTCGTTTTCTCGTAACAAGCCTCGTACGTGCTTTTCGTCTGTACATTACTTGAGTGAATGATCATTAGCTAGATTCAGGTTATTTCGCAAGGTTCCGTCAAAAATTGGCAATCTGGACGTCATGCGTAGTTAAATTATAAATTCCTGGAAAAACAACATTGAGACCGCCCACGTGATCGTGACTAGCAGTCTACTGGCAAACGCGACCTGCAAGCGAAGCAATGTTATCTGGCGGATAGTAAGCAACAGGTCAGGACAACAAGGGCCACACGGGAGATGTGCTGGACCAACAAGGGGGCAGACTACGGAGCGGTAACCGGGTTGCGCTAAGTGCGAACATCGATTACCAAGTGGCGCGCCTAGGCGCGGACCCACGTCGCGCCGGCCACCTGCCCCTAACCCACGCATCAGGCGGCTGACCGACACGGACAGTGGACTGGTGCCTGGGAGAGAGGATGAGGTCGACTCTGAGGACTCCGTTCCCACGACACTTCAGCGCCTTTTCCTCACTATAAACAGTCCAACGCGCTTTTAAACTGTCATGATGCGCCAAGAGTCGTGGCTTTGAGGGCTGTTAACCGGCGAGACAAGCCGGTCCTCTCAGGCGGGGGGAGTCAGGTAGCAACGGCCTAATCTGAGTGTGGCCCTTATATGTCATGACCACTCGAGTGGAATCCGAGGCGACTACTTCTGAAAATCCGGTTCGTCGTGTCCGGCACGCGTAGATGGGTTGTTTGGTCGAACAGGCATGCTTGTAGGAAGCAGCTCAGAAGAAGAGGATGTTATCGCTGGAACATGAAGTGTATTAGTCTAACCCGTCGCACTGGCTCCAAAATATGGCGAGTGCTGCTGTACGTGAACAACGTCTCGGAGGCTGTCAGCCGCCTCCCCACACCGCTTGAGTTGGAGTTGCACAGAGACCAGGAGCAACTATCGGAGCACCAAGTAACGTGGCCGAAAGACCAACTGCCCCGACAGCAACCATTTACCGGGCCTGATGCAGTTGCGGGCAAAGCAACTGCGCTGGAGAGACTGTTCGATTGTTCTGGACGCGGATGACCGAACGTGCGGCGGCAGTGTGGAGAAAAGACCCTGGCTCTCATATCGCCACTCATTCGACGGGACCCGGCTACACCTTGGGGTTTGGTGAGGCCGACATTCTCGCAAGAGGGGACAACCGCGTGAGCCGCGAGCTGCTTGAGTCACGGTTATTTGACCCGCAGTCGACTAACGATCGTAAGGGTCTCCCGTCTCCATATTACGTGCTGAGGTTTTGCCTGAACAGAGTAATTAGTCACGCGAGGAGGACGAGGGTAGCTAATAGGTTGAGTGACAGCCAGCCGAATGACAGAGTAGTCATCACGCCAAGAATAAACAACGGTGGGGAAATTGCAGCGATTAACAACTCGGATGAGGACTGATAAGCGATCCTTGCACCATATAAGGTCCTCAGCGGTTAACTCGAGAGCCGTTAGTTATAGTACGCATGTAGTTGCGTGGCAACTGCGTCCTATAAATACTGTGCTCCCTAATCTGCGACTGCCTCTGATGACCGGTTTGGGAGAGAACCCGAAACACCAGGCCAATACACTTTTTGTTCCAACGATCGCCTATTCGATCGTCGATCACTGCTCCCGAGCCCGCCCCTCGTCGTCCTTACTCGGTTTTGACACCGGATTCAGGCGGGCGAGGGAGGAGAGAGTGCGGCAGACACTGCGCAAGTCAGTGCGTCCACCTTTCTGGGGGGCACACGGAAGATATCGTCGTTCGCGATCATCGAAACGCCGAGATGTTAAAACTTAAGAGATGCAAACTTTGAGGCACTCGCAAACACATTGTGAATGCAGCAGAGAAGTGCTGGCACACTGGAGTAATCTGATCAGCCTAGGATTAAATAAGAGGCGCCAAGGCCTGCCATTAGAGGGTAACAGCTATGCAACTGATGGATTTGCATGAAAGTAGTCCAAACTTGCCGTCCGCCGCACCTCCATGTTCTTGCCCCGATTACCGTCAACAGCGTCGTCACTGATTGGTCCACAAGGCAGGAGTGAAATAAGGCGTGGAAGGAGTGTTGCCAGTGCGGGTAGAAGCCGGAATGGAGGTGAAGGTGATGGAGCAGAGCGACCACAAACACCGCCAGACAGTGCCAGTTCTCGGCGTGTCAACCAGAGGAGGTTTCTCAACCAGGCGATTTCAGGTCCGCGAAATAGAATGCGCTCAAGCACGCGCCGCAGGAGTTTCTCGCCAGGTGAGACGCCTCGGCTGAGGGCGGATTGACTCACTTCGGCAACGGCCGAGGAGTACGAGATTGAGACAGATTCCCACTCAAGAATGAGGGGAAAGAAGTAGAGGAGAGGGCAGGCGTTGTCATGCGGTGAGTCAGGGCGTTCCTCCCAGCAAATTAAGTTGCCTTACATAAGGGAGGATAGGGGGATAGTTAAATGCCCCTGGATCAAAATTAAAACCACGAAGATTGACAGCTTTAGGAGGCACTTTCAGTTCAATCGGTGGTAACAGCAGTAGACGCAGCGGCAGTGGCAACAGTAATGCGGTGGTGGTGGCGGTGATGGTGGCAGTGGTAGAGGTGGAAGTAGTAGTAGTAGTAGTATTAGTAGAAGTAGTGGTAGTAGTAGAAGTAGTAGTACCAGTAGTATTAGTAATGAGGAGGGGAGGACGGAGAAAATAGTTTAAATTACGAGTAGATCGGATTAAGGAAGAAGGGAACTAGTGTTGCTGCGGACCGCGACGACTAACAAGTTGTTAAACAAAGCCAGGGGACAAAAGTTTCGTACGTTTTATACAGACCCTAAAATACTCAAAATACAATACTTCGGTCGACCGCGGACAGGTTTGAAGTTTACTAGGGAAAATCACTTACTGAAGATTATCTCAGCCAAGCCAGGATTCCTGGCGACAGAATGCAAAATGAGGAGCCGACCAGAGGCTTGGCAGGAATTCGAAATCAGTCGGTGCATGAGCAAGCCGCCACCTGAGAAATTGGTCAGCAGAGAGGAAATGGGAGCCGAAGATGTGGTCAAGAGATCGAGAGCCTCGAAGAAGCCTTGATCATCCCGTCCGTCCTCTTCCAGAGACGGAAGCCGAGAGCTGGAAATTCAGTAACGATGGTTGGTTTTTAAATTGGCAAAAACGCGTTACTGTTTCTTTATTAAGTAGACGTGATCTTTTCGGGTGAAATTGGCTAGGTCGCGTGAGAGCAGATTGCAGGACAGTCGTCAGGGTCCCGGTTAGGCTGCCAAGCAGAAATGTTACGGAATTCGGTTTTGTGGGGTTTTCTGGGCTATCAGTAAGTCAAAGACTGCGAATAGAGAGAACTGTTATTACCTCCCAATTCAAAGTAGACTCGGAGCAACGACAGGCCCAATTTAACACACGGTTTAGTAGACAAGAAATAATTTAGGCAAATTACTTACGTCGTAAGGCGCTGCCAAGCTCGATTGCAGATGGCCTTTAAAATTGACCTGGATGCGAATTGTAGAGATGCTCGAGCCTGTACCTCCGACTCCGGGGCCGATTCTCCGAGGGGAATGCATGACAAATCGAGGAGAAATTCCAATAGCTGAGCACCAGACGACGCTAGAAAAGATAAGGACACAGCGATGCCTGCTGGATTTACTCGCTACCAGTCAGAATTTACTCAGTTAGAAACCGTATGATGCAACCGGCTCGAAATTTGCGAGAAAAACTTTATTCCGACGGACTTCCTCCACTCACCCTAGGGTGTATTACGAGAAGTGTCTTACCGCTTTGGGTCCTTTTTACTCGACAGCGAACACCACAACCTAAAGGACAGCGAGTACCTGGAGCCGAGTGGTAGTAGAATGGAGGCACCTGCATACTACCGACCCCCTATCTCTCTTCCTCTCTCCAACGTCTCCCATGGTATAGAGAGATGGCCATGCTGTTGGAGGATAAAACTGACCAGGCATCCTATCCCCACCACCCATGTTCTCATTCACGTCGCGGGCGGAACCACGTCTCTCACACACCTTGTTAATATCTACTAGCGGACCTGTAAAAGTCCGGCATGCTGTCCCGAAGCCCAGGTTTTCCTGCAAGTAGCCGCGCACCAAGGAATGGCTGTAAAACATCGGCTCTGACCATTTTCAGTCACTTTCCCCATGATGAGATTGAAAACAATGGCTGACCACATGTCGCAAAGGTGCTCGCTCTGTTTGCTCACAAGCAGGACTTCATCTGCAGACCCACTGCCTGACAGAGAAGCAAAACTGAACGGTCAACTGGAAAGTGCGGGACCGAATTGTAATAAAGGAAGAAACGGCGAAAGATCAACGGGGGAGCACTACAGCGGACTAAGACAGAAAGGTACGCGAATAATATCAATACTATGGTAGGGGGCACTCACCGATCGTTCTTACGGGACTCACTCGTTTCGTTGTGCCTTACGGGCTCTCTATCTCGAGCCCAACCAGCAGCCGCACAGCGGCGCATGATATAGGCAGAATGTTATTACCGACAAGGACATTCGTCCAAACTGGAAAGCTTCTAGCTTGCCCAGCTACGTCAGCCAGTGAGCGCCCCTTACTATGGTACATTTCCGATCGAAAACCGACAGGGCAACAGGCTCGTTGCCCAGTGGTTAGAGGCGTGGACTTCTAACTAACAGGTCGCGAGTTCGAGCCTCGGATGTCCCACACTTCGGGCTTGGGTATGGCTGGCTGACGACGGCTAATAAGCCAGAAATGGCCATTCCAGTCTCCCTTACCTTTGTCGGTAATAACATACTGCCTATATCATGTGCTGTTGTGCGGCTGCTGGTTGGGTTCGAGAGAGTGAGTCCGTAAGGCACAAGGGAACGAGTGAATTCCGTAAGAACGATCGGTGAGCGCCCCCTACCACAGAAATAACAATACTTTAGAGGAGGACGTCTGTGTGTACTGATACATTGTTCATTCCAAGCGATGAGAAGGTAACCTGTCAACTAGCAGCCGTTCGAGTCATGGCTGTTAGCGCACCGTGGTTGCTTAAAAGCCTGTCAGATTGTCTACAGTGGGGAATATGAGGTGCTTGTCAGGTGGACGCAGTCGGCCTCCCTCTTTCGGGTGCCAGTTCACCGCCCGAGTCGGACAGTCAGCTGATGTCGGAATTAGGGGGATGTGGTTTTTACCTGCCAACCTGGCAGGGTCAGCCACAAAACACGAGAGTTTCTATGATCAAGGTACGGTGTTGGTTGGCAACTTTCCAGGTCGCAGCCTGTAGCACAATGTGGCAATTTTAAGCGCGTCAGTATAGTAAAGTGGGGCACTAAGTGCTGCATCCACGTTGAAACATCTTCACTCGCTCTGCCGACTTCGAATGTTAAAATCGAGAGCGCTAGCTGGCGCGTGAGGATGGCATTGCTTTTTTGGCTGGGAGGACTGGACTGCACTAAGTCCTGATAATTCTCGAAGCAAGGCTCTAAAGACCATAAACCATTTGGTGATTAGGGTTTTTTTAAAAATTTTGGTCATTTGTTTGTAGACCAGGAGGTGTGGTGACGCGCCTAGGTGCGGGTCCCCGCTGTGCCAGTTACCTGCGCCGTCTTTTGCCTCCGGTCCTCTTGGCCCTGTCTTGGCCACGGACCCAGATAGGAGAGAAGAAGAGAGTGCGGTAGATGCTCTACAAGTCTACTATAACTATGAACTAGTTTACACACAAGTCATCGTCCCTGCGCTCAGCCTGCTGAGAGACATACGATGGACATCGTCGGGAACGACAGTCGGTAACAATCGGGCGTAGGCACCCAAATATCCGGTCTAGAAATAATACCTACTATATCTATTTGAGTAGGGTATAGCCATACATATTTGTTGTTTCATCCGACGGTCGAACTGTCCGTTGTTCTTTAAATAAGGGGTGGCAATCCAAAATGCGGGTAGAGGTATAAACCCTAATCTGTATAAATGACACTGCCTTTAAGTACAAAGATGAATCAAGGGGGCGGGACATTAGGCAGAAAGGTAAAATGGAGACCAGTAACAAAATAACAATACCTTGGGAAGCAAAGACAGCATCCACAACTGCTTCCTTCAGCTCCTCAACGTCTGTCGGCGAAAAGCAATGAAGTTGCCAGTAGACCACTCGGAATAATTCCTCATGACGAAGGCTTCTCAATGTGGCAACGAGGGCAGAGACACAGGCCGATCGGAGGCCAGCACAGATCTGTCGCAAATACCGCAGTTGCGGACTATCCTCTACCAAATCTGGAAAGAGGCCGGTTTCTGCAGCCGAGTAGGGCGCGGGAAATGGGGGAAAAGGCTGAGCGGGAACGAAACCAGTGGAGAACGATTCAGGTGGGGGAGGAGGATAGCGAGGGCCAGGTGGAGGCGGTACTGGGGAGAAATGACGCGGTCGGAATGGGGCAGGATCACCAGGACTGGGATAGCCCGAAGGATGTTGAGGTGGGGGACCCAGTGGGCCACGCCACCAAGGACTAGGTGGAGCTCTTGCGGGTCCAAGTGACATTGGCCCTGGCGGGGGACATCCTGGAAGGTAGAGGTAGGAACGGTGAGTTGAGTGTGGGGGGTAGGGGTAAGCACTCAACCCCTAATAATTAGGTACTCACAGGCTGGGTACTCAGCTACAGACACCCGAAAGTTCTTCTTCTCTAACAGAGTGCTAGAAGCCTGGAACGCCCTGCCTGTGGATGTCGTTATGTCTGCTTCCGCCGAGGTCTTTAAGAGGATGCTGCATTTGTGTAGCAGAGTCCACTAAATTACCACCCGACCTCTGTAACCTTGACAAATCCCGTTGTCATAATACTACTGGCCATATTTCAGTAACACTTTAAATTGAATTGCTTATTGTCTCCAACCCATCGCCTACGCTTACTGACATGCACCTATGCAACTTTTGTCACCGGTTATATTATTTATTTCCCTGCACTCGAAAAGACCGTTGTACAACTGCTCGTACCACTAACATTCGGGACAGTTTGTTTGTCTGTACAGAGCTGACGATTTTCCGATTATTTGTAACCTTTATGATACCTTTTCCAGTTTTTGAGATTTGCAGTTGTTTGAAAACAAGTAGGGAGTTCAAAGGTGAAGACCTATATTTCCCTCAATAAAACTGAACTGAGTAGTCAGCTACAGGCCTACAAAAATACGACCTTGCGCAGCCAGAAGACTTCCACAGAAAGACAACCCATGTCTGCACGGGACGGTATATTTACTTACCGGAAACATTCACGGGTCCACGAGGTGGAAGTGGATAGGCAGGACCCAGAGGGCCTCCAAGCAGCGGAGGTCCATGCCGCATGGCCGACCCGCCCATAGGAGGGCCAGGTATGAATGGACCAGCCTGTGGTGGGACTTGTTTTGGATCCTGGAAGGGTCCTGTACCGGCTGAACGAGAGGTCCTGCCGACACTGATTCGTGCCATGCTAGATAGAAGGGCGATGAGACCGAACTTTGGAGGTGGCGCAGGCGACAAGGCAGCATACTTCCGCAGGTATT